TGGAGCGGCGGCTTCCGCAGATCGAAAGAAATTCAAATCTTTTAATTTATTGAATTGAATTAATTGAATTATTTCGTTTAAATTCATTTCATTTTACTTAACTTCATTGAGTTATTTCGTTCTAATTTGCTCCATTTTGCCTCAAGTTTCCGCCAACTCCCACAGCACACAACGAGCCCGGCTCCGTCGCTCCGGCTGTAGCCACTAAACCCTAAATCCTAAACCCTACACCTAAACCCTAAACCGGGGGCTCTAAACCCTACACCCTAAACCCTAAACCCTAAACCCTAAACCCTAAACCCTGGAGCTTCGCGGCGAAAATGGAGGTAAAAAGGGACTCTATAATTGGGCTTGAAGAGGCGGATATAGCAGACCCAAATTTGCACCCCAAGCTGCAGCGCTGCAGAGAAGTGCGTAACGCTCCGTAAACCCTAAACCCTAAACCCTAAACCCTAACGCCCAAACGCCAAACTCCAACCCCTAGACCCTAAACCCTTGAGCATAAACGCGAGTCCAAATGCTTTTCTGCATTCGCCAGGACTTACTGTGTCTATGGTAGAGCGCGTAGGGTTTACGGTTTAGAGTTCAGAGTTTAGGGTTTAGGGTTTAGGGTTTAGGGTTTTGCGGGGCGCAGTATGCTGCTTCGGTGGAGCCTGACCCTCGCTACGTTGAGAATTCCGCGCACGAAAAAATTGTGTTGGAGCAGCTGAAGCTCTTTGAGTCTCAAGTAGGTAAACCCTAAACCCTAAACCCTAGTCCCTAAACCCTAAACCCTAGTCCCTAAACCCTAAACCCTTGACCCTTGAGCCTCAGCACAAGCCTTTACGGCTTAACCTCAGACCAAAGGGCCTCCGCCTCAGCTGAAGCCTAACCCCTGAACTCTCCCTCGGAACTCATGGGCTCCAAACCGTAAACCCTAAACCCTAAACCCTAAACCCTAAACCCTAAACCCTAGCTGTTTCTGCGCAGTTCCGGGCCCTCTACGGCCCCCGCTTTCTTTTCCTGGCGCCTCCAAACGAATTTGGCTGCCCCAAATTTGTTTGTTCTTCCCTGGCGCCCACTTTGCTGCCTTACGAGTCCGCAAGCTGCTGCTGCTACTGCTGCTGCTGCTGCTGCTGCTGCTGCTGCTGCTGCA